TGTATCGCTGCCTTTGTAAATATCCAATGAATTATCATAGAAAATTCGAAACGATATAATCTCGCTCAACAAAATGGTTAATTTTTAGGAAGTTATTTTTTGTACTATATAATATAAATAATTAGGTGAGGTCTCCGGCGCCACAAAACATTTCTCATGTTCATTTTATTTCTCAAATTCTATAATGCTCCTCTAATTTGTAGATTAATGTGATGATGTCAGAAACATTGTGTCCTAAAGAATAGATTGATATATTTTTTCTTTGATACAATCAGTTATGTATCTGTAATTGCTGCTTCAAATTGGAGTAAAAAGCGAAGTATGAAGGACGTTAATGATCGCACAACAGCTGGAAATCGAAAAAGAGTTGGCTAATGCTACTGTCCTGGCTTCCCTACTTGCTCATTGCAAGGCGTTGCTCGTCTTAGATGCAGAAGAGTAGGACGTAAAACTCCATTCATTTCATTTTAACAAGTATTAAGTGAAACAACTCACCAAGATAATGCATATGATTGAAAGCAGAAACTACATATACTTTATCTGTTATAAAATGTTTAGTGCAGGAACCAGGACATTCTGATGTATCTTCAACACGAGTAGTAAATGGTGGAATATGCAGATATTGGGCTCCAATTGTCAACACTCCGGCATCGTTTTCTCGTTTTTTAGCAGTATAATATAAAATCATACCAGAAGAATCAACATAATCATTCCGCAAAGTAGGATTGTTCCAATGAAACTGAAAAACAGAGTTAAGTTACATGCTTAGCTTTTTTAAACCAATGTTTATGGTCTACAACTACAACTTTACCTTGACAGATATTTAAAGGTATAAAAACTTCGAAACAGTCAATTCCACCATTGCTTATTAAGAGTTTAGAAGGCCTATCTTTGCACAACTTGCTCACAAACCCCCTAGAAGGCACATTCTAGGATAAATTTTGGTGAAATTAGTAATGGATAATAAAAATAGTAAAATATTTAATATGAGATATTGACTCGAGTTTATTTCGTACACACTGGAGAAGGCAGAATTCTTGTCAGATTGTTAATATCACGAACTGAATGGTAGACAGGACACTGCCAGTGTCACTTTGATGTATTGGACCTAAATCTGACCAGTTATTTATTATTAGGACGAACAGAACTGAAAGTTACGAAAATCGTAAAAATTTGGTTTTATTTAAACGGTATTGAAAATAAAATAATGTTTAAGAGAATCCATGTACACACCTGCAGGGCGACTCGTTTTATACCCTGATTTCCAATTCTAAATCCAACTTTATCGTGAAAACATTGCCCAGCACTCCCTAACACCCAGATACTCATAATTTGTTGACATTCATCACTGGCCACCATTCCACATTGATGTGGCGTATCTTTGATATCATGGTCATCTATAGAATATATTATAACATTTGAAATAGAGCTGTATGCAATCATGAATCCCAAATTTTCCTTCGTCACTTTGTAGTTGATCAACTTTTACCAATGGGGACCAGTTTGCAAGAAGTTCAATAGTATCTATCTGCATACATAATAGTCCCAAACATCTGCGTCTATTCCAGCCTCTGATGAATATTTTGACACTTGTCAGCTGGTGCAGAGTCAGAAAAAAAGACCCTGTTAAATGGGGATTGGAATGACAAGATTTTGGGGAAGACAAAATCAAATTATGGATTTAATGCTATTCATGTTGTTCCTTACCTATTCATGGTAAATAGCTCCTGTCGTTTCAATAGTTCCGTCTTATACCTGCCCGTGTAACTTACCTGAAGCACAGCCAAACAAAACAGCATGATGCATTACATTGGAATTATTAACCAATGCTTCAGTTGCTATCAAATGAAAGTCATCACTTGTATCCAAATCAAATTCCATACAAATATAACTGGTCTCATTTGAAGGTACAGGTGTGATAGGGAATCGAATTTCCTTTTGTTTTACTTCTGAAAATGTCAGAAACACATGAAGGACTTTAACCTGAATTAACTTCAAAACTTGATAGAATTAGTACTCATGTCTAGTATATTGAATTAAAAAAACAAAACTGTTCATGGCTCAAATGATTTAAACAACTTTTACTCACGAAAGCACTAGTTTCCAACCTGGAGTGTTTTCAACCCGGGGGTGTGAAACTATGGCGTCAGGGGTGTGGTCAACTGTTGAAGTACAAATGGGAGAACTATATGGTTTCAAGACCCCTGGAGAATATTTTTCAGTCGATGGGTGTGTTACAGCCACAACCACAATCTAGTCCGACTGGAAACCAGGGGAGTATTGTGAACTTTAGGTTTTGAATGTCTTTTTTTTTATTAGGGTGGGGGGATTAAATGTTTGCTCCGGGATATCCAGACTGAATTGGGTGGGGAAACACTGCATTAAACGCGACATTAAAAAGGTTCGCTTAAAACAATATACAATTACTTACCAACGTCATTTATTCCCGGACAAGTAAATTTTTCAAATTCACAAGTAGAAGCCACCCAATTCAGTTGATCTTTACATTTAAAATCAGTCCATGGTTCACAGACACCTAGAAATAGTGGAAATTATATAAACTATCAGTCCATGGTTCACAGACACCTAGAAATAGTCATAATTATATAAACTATCAGCCTATGGTTAACAGACACCTAGAAATAGTGATAATTATATACACTATCAGTCCATGGTTTACAGACACCCAGAAATAGTGATAATAAAATACACTATCAGTCTATGGTTTACAGACACCTAGAAATAGTGATAATTATATACACTATCAGTCCATGGTTTACAGACACCCAGAAATAGTGATAAGTATATAAACTATCAGTCTATGGTTAACAGACACCCAGAAATAGTGATAATTATATACACTATCAGTCTATGGTTCACAGACATCTAGAAATAGTGATAATTATATACACTATCAGTCTATAGTTCACAGACACCTAGAAATAGTGATAATTATATACACTATCAGTCCATGGTTTACAGACACCTAGAAATAGTGATAATTATATACACTATCAGTCCATGGTTCACAGACACCTAGAAATAGTGATAATTATATACACTATCAGTCTATGGTATACAGACACCCAGAAATAGTGATAATTATATACACTATCAGTCCATGGTTTACAGACACCTAGAAATAGTGATAATTATATACACTATCAGTAACAGACATCTAGAAATAGTGATAATTATATACACTATCAGTCTATGGTTAACAGACATCTAGAAATAGTGATATTTATTTACACTATCAGTCCATGGTTAACAGACACCTAGAAATAGAGGAAATTATATGCACTATCAGTCTATGGTTCACAGACACCTAGAAATAGTGATAATTATATACACTATCAGTCCATGGTTCACAGACACCTAGAAATAGTGATAATTATACACACTATCAGTCCATGGTTCACAGACAGCTAGAAATAGTGATAATTATATACACTATCAGTCCATGGTTAACAGACACCTAGAAATAGTGATAATTATATACACTATCAGTCCATGGTTAACAGACACCTAGAAATAGTAATGATTATATACACTATCAGTCCATGGTTTACAGACACCTAGAAATAGTGATAATTATATACACTATCAGTCCATGGTTAACAGACACCTAGAAATAGTGATAATTATATACACTATCAGTCCATGGTTCACAGACACCTATAAATAGTGATAATTATATACACTATCAGTCTATGGTATACAGACACCTAGAAATAGTGATATTTATATACACTTTCAGTCCATGGTTAACAGACATCTAGAAATAGTGATAATTATATACACTATCAGTCTATGGTTAACAGACTTCTAGAAATAGTGATAATTATATACACTATCAGTCCATGGTTAACAGACACCTAGAAATAGTGATAATTATATACACTATCAGTCCATGGTATACAGACACCTAGAAATAGTGATAATTATATACACTATCAGTCCATGGTTTACAGACACCTAGAAATAGTGATAATTATATACACTATCAGTCCATGGTTTACAGACACCTAGAAATAGTGATAATTATATACACTATCAGTCCATGGTTAACAGACACCCAGAAATAGTGATAATTATATACACTATCAGTCTATGGTTCACAGACACCTAGAAATAGTGATAATTATATACACTATCAGTCCATGGTTCACAGACACCTAGAAATAGAGATAATTATATACACTATCAGTCCATGGTTAACAGACACCTAGAAATAGTGGATAATTATATACACTATTAGTCCATGGTTAACAGACACCTAGAAATAGTAATAATTATATACACTATCAGTCCATGGTTCACAGACACCTAGAAATAGAGATAATTATATACACTATCAGTCCATGGTTCACAGACACCTAGAAATAGTGATAATTATATACACTATCAGTCCATGGTTTACAGACACCTAGAAATAGTGATAATTATATACACTATCAGTCCATGGTTCACAGACACCTAGAAATAGTGATAATTATATACACTATCAGTCCATGGTTTACAGACACCTAGAAATAGTGATAATTATATACACTATCAGTCTATGGTTCACAGACACCTAGAAATAGTGATAATTATATACACTATCAGTCCATGGTTTACAGACACCTAGAAATAGTGATAATTATATACACTATCAGTCCATGGTTCACAGACACCTAGAAATAGTGATAATTATATACACTATCAGTCCATGGTTTACAGACACCTAGAAATAGTGATAATTATATACACTATCAGCCTATGGTTCACAGACACCTAGAAATAGTGATAATTATATACACTATCAGTCCATGGTTAACAGACACCTAGAAATAGTGATAAATATATACACTATCAGTCCATGGTTAACAGACATCTAGAAATAGTGATAATTATATACACTATCAGTCTATGGTTAACAGACATCTAGAAATAGTGATAATTATATACACTATCAGTCCATGGTTAACAGACACCTAGAAATAGTGATAATTATATACACTATCAGTCCATGGTTCACAGACACCTAGAAATAGTGATAATTATATACACTATCAGTCCATGGTTCACAGACACCTAGAAATAGTGATAATTATATACACTATCAGTCCATGGTTCACAGACACCTAGAAATAGTGATAATTATATACACTATCAGTCCATGGTTAACAGACACCTAGAAATAGTGATAATTATATACACTATCTCACAGACACCTAGAAATAGTGATAATTATATACACTATCAGTCTATGGTTCACAGACACCTAGAAATAGTGATAATTATATACACTATCAGTCCATGGTTCACAGACACCTAGAAATAGTGATAATTATATACACTATCAGTCTATAGTTTACAGACACCTAGAAATAGTGATAATTATATACACTATCAGTCTATGGTTTACAGACACCTAGAAATAGTGATAATTATATAAACTATCAGTCCATGGTTTACAGACACCTATAAATAGTGATAATTATATACACTATCAGTCATGGCACCTGGTAAGTCCGGTGCGTTCGTTTTGCCCCATTGCCCAACTTGCTGCATCGTGCCCAACTGCACAAAAACGACTTGTAAAACGAAACTAAAGGTTTCTGATAAAATCCGGAATGACCATTTGTTTCGCACGATGCGGCAATTTGGGCAATGCGGCAAAACGAACCCACCATGGTACGTCCAACTAAGGAATATCAACACTTATAGTCTTATTGACCAAGTTTGAGATTTATTTTATGTGGTATGGTTTTAAAAGCTTGATTCTAATTACATCATGAAGCGATGTCATTTAAACTTGACCAATCACTGACATTATTTACTCAACCAAATATTGATAACCAGGAAACAATTTCAATTCATTTGTGGTTGACTTAACACACGATTCAACAACACAACACGGTACACAGATTTCCATGTGGATAAAAAGTGGTAGTGTCATCTTGCCAGTGACATCTTGCCAGGACAGCGGCATTAGCCTGCTCTTTTCATTTTCCACCAGTCGATTTTTAACTTGCATACGGGGCCTCGGTTTATTGTCCCACCCGAACGAAAAGACATATTTGATATACAAAATACGAAGTATCAAAATTATGAACAATTTTACTGACCAGGATGTGATAAGTTAACAGTACGAGAGGGGATTTGATCTTTACTCCAAACACAATCTGGATCTCCCAATTCTTGTCCATTTGTTATTCCATCACCATCAGAATCTTTATTACACAATTCGGCAGTCCATTTCTACAATTAATATTTAAAGGTAAACGAGTCGTAAATAGTATGCTACTGAGATGCTACGACAGATTAACAGATAATAAAAATCAATACAAGCGACATTACCCTAATCAAAATCTTGTCCAAAGTTGTATATAGTAGTGAACTCTAAAGAGAAGTACCATCAGGTGTTTCTAAAAGAGTAAGCATCAGAGAAAAACAGAATCACATAAATCGTTTCAATATCATAAAATTCGGTACAAACAAGACAATTTCGTTAATCAAAATTTCATCCAAAGAATGGCAAAATCAAGAGTAAACGTTGTATAGTAGTGGACTCGGTCATGTTTACTAACACAGCTCTGAAGGTACGGACTGTATACTATTATTGAAGGAAATTACTAGAGTTGCTTACATGTTCAGCTGCGGCAAAATCCATACCAAAAGGATTTCTAGATTTTCCTCCTTCTACCAATCGATGTCCAACACCTTTCCAAATATAATTACTTTTACATGGATGTGGGACACTTTCTCCATTGGGGATAGCTTCTCTGTAATAACCGTAAGAATCAACTGAGTCTAATACTGTTATCAACAGCACAAACCTGAAATAACATCACATTCAAACTTTCAACAGAACCGCCTGGTAATATAGACATAATGATCTAGAGGAATTTATTTTGTTGCAAGTCAATCAATATATTCAGGGCCTTTTATTATGTTCTTGAATGGCATTTAGCAATTGTGAGAGATAAATGCTTCTTAATAATAAGCATTAATGTATATATAGTTTGCCCATCACTTCTTCTCATTATGTGCCTGAGGACGACGGGGGAAACACGTCGAAACGTTGCATAAAACACCATCACTTCATCTCATTATGTGCCTGAGGACGGCGGGGGAAATACGTCGAAACGTTGCTTAAAACATTAACCAGTGATTGTTGTTCCATAAAGCTGTGTCTATATATTGTATTATGTTGTTGTATTTCAACGGAATATAATTAATTGTCACGAGTATAAATTTATTGACTTTGTGTCATGTCATAAATAAACAACATATCTCTGTTTGATAAGAAAAAATCAAGTATTCTTCAAAAATTTCTTGTTTTATGAATTTATCGAATTTTTTTTCAATAATTTCTTGAAGTTTCGTGCTATTTTTTCTTTTATTCACTAAGTTTATGAATTTGAAGTTCATTGTGAGTCTCGGAGGTAGTTTAGAAATTTCGAAACTCTCTTCATGCAGTCCTATAGCTAGTATGAATAGTAAAAAAGTTTCTTCACAGTATAAAAGGCTACTAAATTGATATGTTATATAGAAATGATAACTGTTATTCATATATTGATATTATTGTAATATTTTGTATGATACGGTTGGTATGTCATCATAATAATTAAATCCCAACACACACACATGGGGGGATAGTTTTGTCTCGGCTTCTAGCCTACTGGTCATTATTTATTTCATACCCCCCCTCCCAACACACGTAGCCTACTGGCCATTATTTCAAAGATTTCAATTCTATTGTGTTAATCTAATTTAATAATAAATTTACCACTTTTATGAACTTACCAGAGTCGAAAGGTATACATTATACGAGATCCGTCAAATTTCAACTGTATAATATTATAAAGACCTACTCACAATATATATATATATGTATATTGTATCCGTGTCATGTGATTAATTTGGGATTATCCATGCAGTCAATTTATCACGTGAAATAATCAGGTGACTAATATCATCAAAAATATCTTTGGAAAGAAATTAAAAAAAAAATGAATTGAATGGAATTTTACGTCCTACAATTCTGCACCATGTGACAAAACCGGCACATTAATATAACATACTTTCAATACAAGTGGTTGAATAGGGCCATTATAGTCGGTTTTTTTTTATATGAGAGGGGCGATATATAGGACATTAAACACTCAAACATAAACATTTAACTAAATAATGTCACTTATGGGTATACATGGCCACCACCTAGAATATCTGATATACATTGAGTTAAATGTAACTGAGGGTTTTCAAACAATTCTTCTCTTCTTTATTTGAATTTCTGTTCAGTGAAAGTAACTTTCTCACATGATCTATGACGTCTGTCAAGGATTGTATTCAATAAGCTAACCATGTCCTGAATATTAACCTTCTTATGCAATAATTTTAACCATTGGAAGAACGTGGAGAGGGCAGTTTCAAATTCTTATTAATGGTCTAAAAAATATTTGAAGTGATCATTTACATTTATGTCGAATTACGCAGAATGTCGGAATACTCAGGTGTATCACAGAGTACACTGTATTTGATTTAATTCATCTGGCAATCTGACTTATACATTGGGTCAAGTGACAAGTTAAATGGAAGGGTTATTGATAGTATAGTCACACCCTAAGAGTCAATTATAGTCATAAGACATTTACTATTTTAACGTTCAACGTTTCTTAATCGTTAAGTTATTTGTTTCAGGAAGTTTTCCCTGGTCTCTGGACTAGATGTGTGAAAGGAACTACAAGTTGAAGAGAATACAATTAATATAAAGAAGTATTCAGTTTTCAAATTTGCCTTCATAGTTGAAATATTTTAACATTGATTGTTTAATTGATTTGAACTCTACTAAATAAAATTAGGGGTCAATAGAAATGAATTTAAAGCAGGGCTGGCAAGTTTTGTCCAGAGTGGTCTTAATCGGTCAATAAAACTGTAATGTCCAAAACACCTTGAGTGGACAAAAGTGGACAAAAGTGGTCTAAACTAACTAAAGTAACACTTTGTGTAAATTTTACTCAGTGTTTTTCTTATATCCAATGTATTTAATCATACACAATAATTTCCAAGTTATAATTGTTATATTATCATATAATGAAATTACATTATGCAGTATGTACATACAGATAGTATTATGAAAATTATATCAATTCGCAGACTGGAATATTAGAATAAATCCTTATTAAAGTTACATACAGATACTGATGACTTGTCATATTTTTTATCTCGTTTGGGTGCTATATATGCACCTTAATACATTTCATTTCATTTTTATTTTCGTGAAATTTTTTTAAAGCCTAGTTCAGCTTGAATTCATTCAAATCTGAAAATTAAAATTAAAATTTGCACAGATGATTTATTCAAATCAATTTTTAATTATTACAGTATATTTTGAATCTTTTATCTCGAATTGAAATTTTAAACAGAAAGGCACCAAAAAACCAAAAACACTCATAAGTATAGAAGAAAACAAAAATAATGATTTATTACCATCCAATTTTATTATTTAGGTTGTTATATTGAAGGGGGTGTAAGATATATCTTATTGAAAGAAAAGTTAGAATATTTACCAACTACTGTCTACAGAAACAATAAAAACACATTTAGTAGATTTTACTCATAAATACACTAAGTCATATAAAATCATGGGTAACAGGCGACAAGCAAACTTATCACTGAACAATTGGTGATTACTATTGCTGGATACATTTTTCATAATTAGATACATGCAGTGTTACTAGATACATGCAGTATTACTAGATACATACAGTATCACTAGATACATACAATATCACTAGATACATGCAGTATCACTAGATACATGCAGTATTACTAGATACGTGCAGTATCACTAGATATATGCAGTATCAATAGATACATACAGTATCACTAGATACATGCAGTATCACTAGATACATGCAGTATCACTAGATACATGCAGTATCACTAGATACATGCAGTATTACTAGATACGTGCAGTTACACTAGATATATGCAGTATCAATAGATACATACAGTATCACTAGATACATGCAGTATCACTAGATACATGCAGTATCACTAGATACATGCAGTGTTACTAGATACATGCAGTATCACTAGATACATACAGTATCACTAGATACATGCAGTGTCACTAGATACATGCAGTATTACTAGATACGTGCAGTATCACTAGATACGTGCAGTATCACTAGATATATGCAGTATCAATAGATACATACAGTATCACTAGATACATGCAGTATCACTAGACGAAAAATATCAGAAAGTAAGAAACGGTTGTAGTAATAAAAGGTAGGTAACAGATAAACTTGTTATCACTAAAATCAGATCTATATTCAAGGTAGGTAACAGATAAACTTGTTATCTCTAAAATCAGATCTATATTCAAGGTAGGTAAGAGATAAACTTGTTATCTCTAAAATCAGATCTATATTCAAGGTAGATAACAGATAAACTTGTTATCCCTAAAATCAGATCTATATTCAAGGTAGGTAACAGATAAACTTGTTATCTCTAAAATCAGATCTATATTCAAGGTAGATAACAGATAAACTTGTTATCTCTAAAATCAGATCTATATTCAAGAGTAGTACTAGAGCTTTAATATTGGTCGCATAGGGGGAATCCCCATTCCATTTCATTTCATGGGGAAAATGCGACCAATATGAAAGCTCCCAAAAAGACCTAAATTCCCTACATTTCATAAATTCTTACAGCAAAACACCCTACATTTCATAAAACATCCTACATTTCATACACTAAAAACACCTTCAATCAATTTCCTACATTCCATCAAAAAAAGCATATTAAAAATACCCTTATATAAAATAACATAACATTTTTAATAGCCTCGTTTTAAGTAATGTTATTTTTAGTCTAGAAACTTCTAGAAGGGAGATAACTCTTTTTGGATAAAAAACAGACTAAATTAATTCATTTAAAAATAGGATGAGTTTAATTCTAAAACACGAACAACACAGATTCGAAGATTATTCGGGCGACGGTATCTTTTCTTCATTAGTTTCTCTAGGTAAAACAATAATTCCAAAAGTAGCTAGCTTTGTTTCAAAAAACAAATCACTGCTTTCAACCGGAGCGAAAGCCGTCGGCTCAATCGCTGAAGCGGGAAAGAGTATAAGCGATACAGTGAAACAATCTAACGAGTTGAAAGAATTAGAGCTAATAAGAGAACTTCGAAACAGGAGATTAGAAGAAAGGAAAGGAAAAGGTTTTAAATTTCGGGGAAGGGAGGGTTTGATTCTCCCAAATGTACAGGCCTAGGGTGGAGCAGACACTTTATTTAGAAATTAGGATTAAGGGTCTTGATATTGGAGGAAATAACTCGCCCGATGGGCGAGAAGTATAGTATCTGTTATGTACTGATTGTTTTTAGTTTACTATGAACAATATTATCATTTAAGTTCTTATTTTTTGAATATGCAACTATCATTTTCTGCTTATAGACATGGGGGAATTTCTCTTGAAGGCTCTTATAGTGGGCATGAACTATCTTGCTTGCTCGATTGCTGGTTGTATTAAACGGGACAACAAAGGGTGCTATGCCTACATTATGATGAATATTTAGTCCTATAGGTCTTGCTGTATTCAATGTCTCAATCCAATGGGCCTCCCTAGATTGACGGAATTTGGTAGTTTCATCTTCGGGCAAGTCAATTTCTATACGCTCAATTGGGATTAGGGTGAGATCGTCTATTGAATGGTCGTCGAGGTTGAAATGATTAGAAACAGGCTTGTCTTTCTTTAATTTGATGTCTGACCTATGAGCATTAAAGCGAGTTCGTAAATTATTCTTAGTTTCTCCTACATATTGTTTGGGGCATTTCTTGCATGAAATTAAATATATTACATTCGAATGTTCACATGTTAGATGTTCCTGGATCGGGTACCTTTTATTCGTAGAGTTGCTTACAAAATAATGAGTTTCTGATATAAAGGGACATGTTTTGCATCTACTGGACAAACATGGAGCACTTCTTAAACCTGGAGGTACTTCGGCATAAAGTCTGTTTTTAGCTGCTATCTGTGCTAAGGTGGAATTTTTTATGTTTCGTAAAAATCGTT